CTCGCCATCTTTGCAAATGTACTTGAACAGCAAGGCGTCGTGGCCATTGCGCTGGACGGTGTGCGGACCGTCAAAGACGCGCTTACCCCAACCCTGCTCACCACCATGCAGAGAATTGGGGCCATTGTTCTGCTTCAGTTGGATCTTCTGGCCATTCAGGTCCTGAATCAGACCATCCTTAATGCGGTTTGCAACGCGGCCAATGGTGGCACCATAGTGCGGGGAGTTGTGCTTGACATAATCATCTTGCGTGGGGAAACCCAAAACGAGATTCTTGCCGCCGACACGGAATTCTTGGATGATGGCGCCCAGAGGTAGGAAGGTAAATGCAGCTTGTTCCGGGGCGGACATGATGAGATTTGCTTTTGTTTATTTTGATTTTTATTTTCCCTGGAGAGAATGGTGGGGGAAAGAAGAGTTTATACATTCATTTTGGTCGACATGACGTTACAACCCCGCAATCTGCGGGATCAATCACCGACAACATGACACCTTTCAATTTCTTGTTTAGCATAAATGTTGATATTCAAAGCATTAAGAGGTGTTGCTCTGAGAGGGTCCTTGATGTTTAAGGTGATTAGGCTAAAAGAGAGCTTGGAATTAGCCTTAGGGTAAAGGTCAACCCGTGACCCGTGACCCGTGACTTCCCATATAAAACGGGGCTGGGCCCAAAATTATATCCATGAATGTGATAATTATCAAATTATCAAATTATCAAAAGGTTAAAAGATATATCCCATATATCCCACAAGGCCGTAAGGTCCATGTATTGAATCGGTATTCTCCAATCAGAGCTTTACACGGAACTACAATAAACAAAATATCACGCATAAAGCGGAGATAGCACATCGGTGTTAGGGTAATCCTGCATCCGGTCGGAGGAAACGGGGTCCCGGCGTCCGAAGGGATCTATACCCCGGACTCGTGTCGGCCCACCTGAAAAGAAAAAAAAAGGATAAAAAAAAAAAAAGGAGATATGCCAAGGTTTTGAGGATTAATAATTGACAGGTACCTAAATAATAGAGGATTGGCATTGGGTTGGCATTTGTATTAGGCAGGCATTTTCTTGTTTATAGGCCAAGTTGACCTAGTAGATTGATACCTGGGGCTGTGTTAGGGTAGCGCGAGACCGAATACGATAAACGAATACCTATACGACCTCTAAGTTTATATGATATTCTACTGCGTAATTCTGATGTACATACTCCGTACAACATACAACATAAACATATTGTACGGAGTACAGAACTTTTGTATCGGAGCATTTGACCCATAAGGGCAAATCGGGATTTCGGCGACTTTGATAGCCCCCGGGGCCTTATAAAGCAAAAACTCACGTAAGCAGCAAAAATCGCTCAAAATGTGGAGATTCGGAAGTGAAAATCGTTGTGTAAGACCCGCGGGCGGATATCCGCTGAGTCAGAGGATCAATAATCAGAAGATGAAAGAAAAAAGAAAAAAAGAAAAGAAAAAGAACTCCTTGGAGCCCGAGTTATTCCCGTTCTGTCTACATCTTAGTCAGATCCCATATCCCTGGAAAGCCCTAAAAGAGCAGCAAATCGGCATCTTCCTCCGGATCTCTTCAGATCTTCTCCTGGTACCTTAAAAAAAACCTGGAGAGTATATAGCATATAGCATATAAAATATCGAATGAGATCATTTCCCGTTTCGGATGGTGTAACGGTGACACCCCAAAAACTTCAATTGGAATTAAGAGAATAAACGCCTCCTTGAAACCTCCCCGTTTTAAAACTCCAGATAAAGAAAACAAAATAAAACCAAACTCCAAATCCCGAAATACCGATTCACTGTACAGAGTAATTAGGATCCCAATTGCGCCCAAATCCAGTCAAAAAGAGACCTTGTGGGGGAAAATAGCCCCAGAGGAGAGAAAAGAAAAGAACATGTATAGTATACATGCACCACGTCATACGGCGTTAAAAAAAAAAGAGTCCAAAAGAAAGTAACCCCTCCAAAAAAAAAAAAGACAAGGGCTCAGATCGAAGTGATCTCTGTGGGATTCGGATTGAGGAACTGGTTGAAATCCTCATAATCGTTCTTGGAATCAAGATATGACCCTTGAGACAAGCAGTTCATGGGCACCTGGCGATTGAACATAGGCGATGATAGTTGCTGGTCGTCAAAGGGCATATTGGAGTAATCGGCCGTGGACATCAAATCCATCTCATCGAAAGGATTGAACCCGTTACTAGGCCACTGTTGTGGACCTTGCAAAGCTAATGGGTTGACCACCCCTTGCATCGACATGGGCTGGACGAATTGTGGAGTGGTGGGCATCTGAGGCTGAGGCTGAGGTTCGGTCTTGATGGGCGCACGTGTCGTGGGACTATATGTTGGCGGCGTGGGCGGCATGTGCTGCTGGGAGAAAGCATCGGATGAGAAGCGCGAACGGGGCACTGGTGACTGGGGGCTATCAGAGCCACCGTCGGAAGACTCCTGGCGTTGCATGCCGGCATTGGTGTGCCATAGATCCTGCTGGAGGGATTCGGGGTTTTCTTCGAAGCGCTCACCCTTGGAGCCGTCCAGGGCACCAAGGCGCATGAGCAAGTCGTGAGTAAGTGGGTGACCATTGGGTTCGAGTTTCAGCTGCTCGCCGGGCCAGCCTTCGCCTTCGATGTTGCGTCGGTAGAGTTCCTGGAGACCATGGACCAACCATGACTGTTGCTGCTCGAGCATCTCAACGTATCTATATCAAGAGACAGCTGGTTAGTGGGGGATTCTTTAGGGTTTGTGAATATAGCTATTTAGCTTACCCCTTCGGGTACACTTTGTCATGCGCCTTCTTGCGCTCTCCAAAGACACAGATGGCATTATCTGCACGACAACGGGAACAAGGGCTGGATCCGTCACACTGTCCGGGGGGGTCAGTGTATGTTGGGACGATTGCTCGTCTTTTTTTTTTTGTGTTATACATACCTTGGATTTCTTCAAACGACACCGATCACATGCTTTGCATACTCTTTTACGCACATTGCTGTCAGAATGCGAGTGCTCGGAGGTTGGCGTTGATTGGCGAGCTGCCATGATTTATGAAGTCGAAAAGTGAGAGAGAGAGAGAGAGAGAGAGAGAGAGAGAGAGAGAGAGAGAGAGAGAGAGAGAGAGAGAGAGAGAGAGAGAGAGAGAGAGAGAGAGAGAGAGAGAGAGAGAGAGAGAGAGAGAGAGAGAGAGAGAGAGAGAGAGAGAGAGAGAGAGAGAGAGAGAGAGAGAGAGAGAGAGAGAGAGAGAGAGAGAGAGAGAGAGAGAGAGAGAGAGAGAGAGAGAGAGAGAGAGAGAGAGAGAGAGAGAGAGAGAGAGAGAGAGAGAGAGAGAGAGAGAGAGAGAGAGAGAGAGAGAGAGAGAGAGAGAGAGAGAGAGAGAGAGAGAGAGAGAGAGAGAGAGAGAGAGAGAGAGAGAGAGAGAGAGAGAGAGAGAGAGAGAGAGAGAGAGTGTGTGTGTGTGTGTGTGAATATAGTAGGGGATTTGGACCCTTAGCTATACTTCCAGTACCGAGTAGGATCGACGTCAAGTGGAGGGTCAATGATATAATGATGTTAACAGATCATTAAAAGAAAGTTCAAATAAAGTAGACGGATGCAGATAGGGAATCCTTGGGACCGTGGAGATAGGAAGGTTAAGAAAAAAAAATAATAGAGAGTATAGGTAGTAATGGGGAAGAGAAGTAATATATGAGTGAAGTAATAGAGACTCATGAAAAGTAACCTCCAAGGTCACCATGGGAGTAGATGTGCATATATAGGAATCACGAAAAAGAGGGGGCCTTTCTAGTTTAGGAATTTATTTTATCTTTTTATCTTTTTATCATTTATTGTATTATTTATTATTTATTTTTTATTTTTTATTAGAGTCATGGATGTCTAACGGAGTTAGAACTCTCTCTCTCCCAGAGAGAGCATAAAGGGATCGGATCGAAGATCATAAAATACAATACAATCCCATACATTGAAAAAATACAGGGATGATTCGGCATTTGCTTGACGGAGCTCGGAGACTTTAAACCTGACGTATATCCGAGTGGACTACATTTCCGGCCACACATTTTATTTTTGATTTGATTGAAGAAACAACATATCTAGAAATAGAATCTCCCTGGGAATCTCTCTAACATAGAATATCGAATCTAGAATCTATGGCAAAATAGTAGAATAGTAAAATAGAACAGAATGAAGCATAAAATATGAATTCATATTCTTGGCATATCTGAGCATAACCCTACTATTAAGAGCGTATAAAATTAAAAATCAAAAAATCAAAAAATCAAAAATCGGCAAGGCCATGCCGAATTGCATGTTGCACCCGAGATTTCATTATATTATGTACATGTATTCCGAGGTAACTAACTAGTTAGTTATACTTATTCCAAGATTTGTATATTTAAGAACATTTAAGTATTAAGTATTAAGTATTAAGAATTAAGAATTAAGTATATAGATACACAACATTCAACATTAACAATCATTAAGAAATCATCCCGAGGTCATTTCAAAGCATGATTCATGACCTAGACAGGATTATTACCAATTGTTACCCCGGTCAAGGTGACAAAGTCCATGACGTGACCATTCTGTTCATTGCCCAATAAGGAACTATGTCCCTTTTTAGGATCTCTCTTTACTTTTTGTATGTACTCGGTATAATCCATGGGCTAGACCACTTTTCTAGAACGTATCCTGTTTCTCTCCTTCTCTCCTGTTTCTATCCTTGTTTCCTATATTTCCTATTTCCTATATTTCCCTATTTCCCCCGTTTCACACAGTTCCCTCGGCTGATATTCCGTGCAGTTCACAAAGCTTAGCTCAATACTTACCGCATTTGGAAATATGTGACGACCTAGGCTAGATCCTATCAAATCCTATCAAATCCAATTCAACTCAAAATTCAAATCTCAACCCGTGGGAACTCTCTCCATCGAGCAGCATGTCCCGTACCGTTTGAACGGAGACGTATTCCGAGTCCATTCACGCTCTTCACGCTATTCACCCTATTCACTCCGAAGGTGGGCTTTGGCTTGCTCCATGTTTCTCTTTCTCTCCCTCCTCCCCTCCCCCCAAGTCAATTGCTACACAGATATTGCCCAACCAAAAAATATATATCACAAGGGGTATAGTATAATCTACATCTTTTTTTTTTAATAATATACAATCTCAATTATCCATCAACAAGAGCAGTGAAAGCACCAAAGTTGACAGACACAGCAACCCCCATAGTATTTTCGACGAGGTACCTTGTGTTTTTCGGTTTCGTTCTGGATTTCACTCTGTTCCTGACCCTGTTTGCCGTTTGGTTCCGTTGTCTTCCGGCGTTTAATAAACTCCCACGCTCGACTTCGACGGGATCGGGTCTCGCCTGCAATCGCATCTACAGCGGTTGTTGGTAGGGCATTGTGCGATGGTTCGGCGCACTGGGGAGGACGTGCACCGTATTGGTCATGAAGTCGTCGAGCTTCGACAACGCGACGGACTAGATCTATCCAGTCATTAGCTCAACTCTCTCTCTCTCTTTCTTGCTGATATGTCATACGGGCAAAGGTCTCCTCAATGTTGACCGTCTCGCGAGCGCTGGTCTCCATAAATCCACAGCCATGCTTGCGCGCATATTCGAGTCCGTCGCGGGATGTCACCACGCGATTATCCTTGAGATCACATTTATTGCCCGCGACGATTTTCACCGGCGGTGGCAGGCCAATCTGGCCTATGTCTCCTACGCCTCCTAAACCTCCGGATTTCTTTCCCAACTCCTGGCGCAGTCGCTGGTTGTCCTCAACGCGTTGTTCCGCCTCCATATCGATCATGTCCATGAAATGATCCAGCGTTTCAAGACTCGAGGGATTGGTGATATCGTACACTAGGAGGAAGGCGTCCGAGTTCAGGGTCGAGGCAGACCATAGCCCACGATACTCCTCCTGGCCTGCGGTATCGGTGATGGAAAGAACGTATGGGTGGCCATCGACGTTGCGGGTAACGGAGTAGGAATCCTCTGGGCCCGATTAGAATTGGAATGGCATCGGAATGGGCGCGCAATACTCCGTACCGATAGTTGGATCATATCTAAAAATTGAGAGAGATTAGTGTTAAAATATTCAAGGTCGATTCAGGGGGGTTCCTCACTCGTGAACCCATTGACTACGGACCAGCCGCATGGTGATGGAGGATTTGCCTGCATCCCGATCTGATCAGATCTCGATCGCGCGAAACCCGGAAACATGGCACCGAATCACGGAGTCAGGATATTCCCAGGGGACAAGAGAAGCAACATACCACATCCACCATCTCCGCAGATGGTGATTGAGATCTTGTCCATGGCCAATGGACATTGGAGAGAGTGAAGAGGGGGGAGATGGGGAATGGGTTGACAGGGGTTATTAATATAGTAACATAGGGGGTTATCAGTACTCCGTATAGCTTACTATCTATAATTCTTATTGCTCTAATATCTTTCTTACCTCTGTACTCCGTAGATGTGTACCTAATAATACTATATTATTGATGAATCGGTCTATAATTGTCATTGTGATACATCTTATGGGGGTTTGCCTCATTGATGTGGTTATGGGAGTGGATGTATAACATTGGACACATTGGACACATTGGACACGATTTCTACATTTTAGAATATATAGAAATAGAGAAAGAAATACGGAGTAGAGAAAGAGAATTAAATATTATATATAAAAGACAGTTTGATCTATCCTGAAGAGAATGTCAAATCTCCCCGTATAAGAGATCTATTGGCGAGTGCTTCCCCACATTTGTACTTGGGAGACATCAAGTCCTCTGTGTTTCTCTTCCTCTCTCTCTCTCTCTCTCTCCCTCTCCCTCTCCCTCTCTCCCTTCTACAAATATCGAACACACTCATTTTTATAAAACCACAAATAACAATATTTTGACGCAATCTTTCACGTCTGTCCAGGTTGTCATTCCGCGGGGCGATGGAACTCGGTCTGGGCCACAAATATTTTAATCATGACCAACATGAACACCTTCAACTTGGAATATGATGAAGAACATCAGGACTCATCACAACCACCCAACCCTTCATATACGACATTTTCCAACGGAAATTATGCCTTCGGTACTATGCTACCTCAGAATACGGATCTACCTCTCCAGAACTTCGCACGAGCACAGCCTTCGGACCTACAAGGACCCAGGTCTAATATCATGCTCACATACGACGGGGTTCCGACCTCAGGTATCTCTATGCCAATGAACATGAACGCCACCAACGCCTACACCTACGATGTTTCAGCCACCTACCCGGCCACCACCATGGGGATGCCTCCGCAGATGGATCATTCACAGTTTCAGTCTACATACCCACCCTTCGCACCCTCTATGACGATACCCCATTATTCCCAGCCCGCTCACCCAGCACGCAATGAACCATATGATATAACCACCGACTCGACAGCCAATTTTGAGGATTCCGATTTTTCAGGTCGCACGAGTGACTGGTCGCAGGCCCAAGCACAAGCACAAGCACAAGTGCAGGTTCAGCGCGTTCAGCGACAACCTCCGGAGCGCCGCCTGCCTTCTGGCCAGCCGTACCGTGCATCCCAACCGGTAGCTATCCAGCCCAAGAAGCCCGTTGCTGCCAAAGGTGAGTTGTGTCTGTGTCTAACACTCCCCGCTAGACTCTAGCCCATAGTATCACTGACACTGGGACGCGCAATCAGAGGATTTCTCGCCGGGGCTGGAAAAGCCCGAGATTGGCAACACTGAACATACCGGCATCTATTCAACAACTGGCTTTGACGTTCTGGGAGCGTTGGTATGTCTTTTATTTCCATGGAGAGGATCTGACGATATACTCACCTTGTTCAGGGCCGTGTGGCTATGCGGCCCAAGCCTAAAATCAACATTGGCGCGGTCGATCTTTCATGCGCCTTTGTGATGTGTGATATCTTGATGGAGGATCATCCAATCGTCTATGTATCAGAGGCCTTTGAACGACTAACCGGCTATACTAAAGATGAAATTGTTGGTCAGAATTGTCGATTTCTTCAAACGCCCGACGGCAAGATCAAGGCTGGCGCTAAGCGCACCTTTGTTGATGAACAAACTGTATATCGGCTACGGTCAACCATCGACGATCGCAGTGAGATCCAGGCTAGTATAATCAACTACCGCAAGGGTGGACAACCCTTCATGAATCTTATCACGATGATCCCCATCCAGTGGGACTCGGATGTTTATCGGTATTACGTCGGATTCCAGATCGATCTGGTTGAAAAACCAGATGCCGTGAGGGCGAGAAATCCCGGTATGCTTTGCTGCATTCTTCGTGGCGAGTGCACTCACTAACATTGTATAGATGGTAATTATAGCATTAACTATCAGCGCGATCAGCTGCCACAGTATATAGTCCCACCACCAGATATATACTCCTCACGACCAGACCTGGGGTTGCGATATGGCCATGACGAAGTGACTACCATTCTCAGCGCCATTAGTGCAGCTGGCAATGATGTCAACCGGCACTATCTGGATCGCATTCTGGTTGAGAATACCGATGATGTGATCCATGTGCTTTCATTCAACGGTGAATTCTTGTATCTGTCGCCCTCTTGCCACAAGATTCTAGAGTACGATCCGGTCGAACTAGTCGACAAGACTCTGTCCACCATCTGCCATCCCAGTGATATTGGTCCTGTAATGCGCGACTTGCGGGCGATCACGACAACTGCTCCAGTGAGTGTCGTGTATCGTATCAGACAAAAGCACAGAGGATATATGTGGTTTGAGAGTCACGGCGCGTGGCATATCGACCCGAATCGGGGACGGAGGCATCTTGTCATGACCGGCCGCCCACGACCTGTCTACGCCTTGGATCAGATTGCCCGCCTGGGCTCATCCGCTGCGCTGGCTGAAAATGACGTCTGGGCCAAGATTTCTTTGTCTGGTGTCATTCTGTTCGTCACGACCAAGGTGAAGCCGGTGCTCGGCCGCTCGCCTGACGAACTAATCGGTAAAGGCATACAGGAACTTATGGAGCCCGAGATTGGTGGCACTGCCACCATCACGCAAGCCCTAGAGGCAGCCTGTGGTGGACAAGGAGCTGGCATGACCACCCTTACAGGCAGCGGCAAAGAAACAGATGAATTGCCCTCATTCAAACACCAAATGTTGCATAAGAAAGGCCATTACATTTCAGCACATACCACATTGTACACGGGTGACGCACGGAAGGGAATCAAACCGACCTTCCTTGTCGCCCAGATCCGATTTACTCGACCCTTCCCCCAGTCCGCCACTGCCATTTCAGCCGCCGAAGACAACAGTCTCGCCACGCTTACCGGCACTGCACAAAAAACAACCCTTACTGTCGATAACCCCGTCCCGCCCCAGCAGTACGGTGCCCTTGATCAACGCATGCCCGATCTATCAACCCTTATCGGTCTCAACGGTCTGCCCACTGGCAACCGCAGCATATCACCCTCTGCCGACCCAGCAACCTTCTTTACCGAACTCAATCCCACCCGCGGATCGAGCTGGCAGATCGAGCTGCGCGAGCTAGAGAAGCAGAACCGCACTCTAGGCGATGAATTGCAACGCCTGCTGGCTCGCCGCAGGAAGCGCAAGCGCAAGCAGGGCGCTATGGCGGTCGAGAAATTTTGCGCCATGTGCAACACAAAGAACACCCCCGAGTGGCGACGTGGTCCGAGTGGAAACCGGGATCTTTGCAATAGCTGTGGTCTGCGATGGGCGAAGCAAATCCGTGGCCAAGCTCAAGCGCAGGCTGCCGCTTCTTCGTCTATTAAAGTGGACTGATGGTGAGTATTTCAACTTTTTTTTGTTCATCTCTTTTTATAGATTGATTTTCCTTCTCCGCTTGGAGGGCTGGTTTCTTGATACCCCTCCGTTTTGACTGTCGAGATTGACACTGCTATACTTTTAAGCGCTTGGATTTTTGGGTGCATCTTTCTTTCGCACATGTCTTCATATGCAGTCTTTGAAATTGAATGCAGAAAAAAGCATGACGGCTAGAACTGTAGGTAGGCTCTACGGCTAGTAAGTACTATGGCTAGTAATGACAGCCATAGCTCGACGAAAACAAGCTCCTTTATGAGTCAAAAGATTGGATATAATACAACTCCCAAGGAACATCTACTGTACAAGCAGGGACCTCCAGTCTAGCTTCAAAAAAGAAAGAAAAAAAACCCCTACGGCTTCTTGGACTTGGGACTGTTTCCACGAACAGCCAGCCACTGCTCCAACCAGCGCCTCTCCAACTCCTCCACCCGTTTCCGGTCTTGGGTACCAGAAGAGACGTCTACACCACCACGTTCCTCGACCGCAATCCGCAACTCAGTAGCATTCATAGCCCTAACCCCTCCACCAACACGAATCATTCCATCATCAATAGCCAGATACTCGGCATACCGCGCCAGCCGAGGCCGGTAGATCAAACCAGCAAGCGACTCGCCCGCAGTCTTATCATGTCGCTTAACCAGGCCGAAAATAGCACAGGCACGCAACACATCAGCGGAGCTCGCACCAGCGACCCAGACAGAATCAGCAAAACACCCAGCAAGAAGACCCAACTGCTCCGCACCGCCCGCCTTGAGCACATGCACAGACCGATCCTTATTCTCAGTAACAAACACATCCAGTGCCGCGAGTTTGCGCGCCGTAGCAGCAACGCGCTCCTTCTCCACCTGCGAAGGCACACGACACGTCGCAGGTGTAATGGCAGAGCCGAAAATCGGGACGATCAGAGGTGTGAACTCGCCGCAGACGATTAGGATCAGTGTGAAGGGGATCATGCGGCGAACATCGCGGGCCGAGCGGCGGACGAGCTGGAACTGTGCGCGGCCGAGCTTGGATTCTTTTGTTATTGATGGCGCGCTGCGGTTCTTGTTGTTATGTGTGCTTGTCCGCGGCGGGGATATGGGGATATAGGCGGGCAGGCCTAGCTTTCTCCGTAGAGGGAGTGAGGCGCGGTAGTTGTGATAAACATTTTTCAGGCCCGTTTTGTAGAAGGTCACGTATGCACGGCCGAATTCCACATAGCGTTTTAGTTTATCTGCTACGCCTGCAGATGGAGAAAGAGGAGATGGGGTTGTGAGGGGAGCAGGGTGTGTGCTAATTGGGGCATTTATTTCGGATTTGGAGGGGACTGAGACGATGGTTGTTGTAGGGGGTGATGGGGAGGGTCGGCGGGATTGCTGGATCGCGGCGGAGGTTGAGAAAAGCTGGGAACGCATGCAGATGGGCAGTGATTGGGATTGGAGATGGGAGTGGAAACGAGAGTGATTCCCAGGTTGGAACTGAGCATGGAGGGCTCGTTGGCCCCGAGTTATGCTAGCCATTGTTAAGGTGAGAGAAAGATGAAATCAAAGGCTGATCGTTACACATGTCAGTAGTCGACACCTTAGGCATCAATATCAAGATGCGAGTCGATGTGCAAAGAGAATCACAGTCTCAACGTATCATCTACTACAGTGATTGAAAGTGAAAACTTTGATCATAACATTTCTCATTGTTCCAAGTGGGTTGAAGAAAAACGGAATTCGTTAAGAAACTGCTATATATATATAGATGCTCGGACTATTTTGTGGGGTAATTAATGTACACCAATTTGAATCAAAGACAAGACCTATTGGTCTGCACGGATCTCAATGTTTTCGATGAGCCCGTTGCCCAACCGTGCAATCTCGTTCAGAATAGCAGTCTGGTTGATTACAACTTCACCCTCGGTATCACCTGGGGCCGTCGAGTACGCCGTCTTCAGGTTCCAGGTTCGTGACTTCAGGGTCTGGGGGTTCCAAAGGCCAGCAATCACTGCACAACGATCGTCTCCGTGGAAGAGCAGAATGCTCTGGCCAAAGCAGGCTTGTACATCACAGACAAACGACTTGATGGTCTGCATCATTCCAGCACGAGGCTCGGCCAAGTTCTTATACTTGGGTGTCGAGGAACCACCAAACAGCTTTGAGCGAAGATGGATGACAAAGTCGTAGGGAGCAAGCGATGTATCAAATAGCTCGGAAACATCCATATCGTGGGTCTTGCTTCGTAGTAGGCTTACTGCTGCTTTGGTCAGGCTGGACATCCGAGCAGCCACAACTTTGGAGGGCATCTCGTATTGGGTCCAGGTTACTCCTTCATTATCGAGGTCAGAGGCGACGAAAAGCGCCAGACTGTTCATCGCAGGGTCGATGCTGCGCCAGGCCGTGAAGCGAGTGCGGATATTTTCCGTCACTTGTGGGGTCAGATCACCTCCCAGGTCAACAATGAACGGCTCCTGCTGCCAGTCCCACCGAGAGAGGGAGTGAAGAGTTCTCAGGAATCCAGTCATGACAGACGAAGGACATTCCCAGGGGTTAGGTTGGGTGAAGGTGCGAATCACTAGCAATTCAATCAACTCGTCACTGATTTGGGCGGTAAACAGGTGAGAATTAAACCATTGTTTGGTCAGACGAATGGTGGGCGACAACAAGGGGAAGCGTGTGCACAGGCTTCGGAGTGCCTGTGTCAAACGCGGAGTTTGAACAAAGGTTTTCTTGTAGGCGAAGAGAGAATATGCGGCCTCTTCTCGTTCTCGGGGACTCAGATTTCGGTCTTTGAGATTGCGTTCGAGTAGGGTTTGTTCACGTTCGTGGTGAATCCTCAACCGGAACAACACGCCAGAGGAATGGGGAATTTCCAAATAAGCGTTGTTGATAACCCTGCTCGATTCGTTTTCGAGGCCTACACGGCAAGATGAGGCAGCGCCCGACGATTCCAGAGAGTCTCCGATCTTCAGAAGGAATGCAACCTTGGTCATTTGGATAGCGGCGAAGTCATCAGGCCAACGCGAGGAGCTTTCAAATTGAAGAACAACGTCGGTGGCTCCCGTTGGTCTGAGGGAGGTATAACGAAGAAGCGAACTGGCCGGGGCTAAGTGACGAACTTCCAATGGCACTTCATCCATGCCGCGAATAGACCTCTCAAGATCCTTGAAGGCATCGTCGATTGATTGGAAGGCAGGGCTGGAGTATGCTAGTATGCCATCACCATGCTCTTTGAGGAGCTCGTCATATTCATCACCAACAAATCCGAATTCATCGGTGGTGATCTTGAAGTGCCGTTGGAGTATGTACTCCAAAATCTGATAGATGATAGATGTCTCCGACTCGTCAGACCACACAAGACTCTCCAGGATGCTGCCATCCTTGAATCGTCGAAGCTCCGACTTTTCACCCCAGAAAGCTTGGAACGAAGCAGACTCTTCTTTTTCCTCTGCAGCCGGACCGTGATCGACAATTCGTCCAACATTTTCAGCATTCAACAACAGTCCTACAGACACGCCCTGGCTTGACCGTTTGGGCTGCTTGGATTTTACTGACCACGAATCAATAGCGTGGCTCACAATAGACACAAGTTTGACTCTGTCTCCAAGAGCCCGGGAAAGGACATTATACAAAGCATTCTGTTCGTGGAGAGCGCGGAGCGTGTCTCCATTGAATGACTTGGGGAATGAGATCAAGCGGTCAAATCTAAGGGCTGGTTCGTCAACCTTGAGAATGAAAACCTTATCGAAGTTGTCCTCTCGTGACTCATTGAGCATTTTTAGGGTGATGGCGGCCTCATGACGCAGTGTGGTGTATGACCAAGGAGTCATTTTGTAAAGGATGTTCAGCCCTCTGCGGCCATCAAAGACAACAGGTACCCCGGAAGGAACTGGGACCTCTTGGCCAAAGAATAGAGGAGTAGTCAAATCCCTGCCCGCCAAAAATTGGATGGTGGCCTTGAAGATTTGGTAGCAGCTGTATGATGGCAGCAGGATCGGTTGTCCAGCCGGACCACCACCTTCGAACAGCAAAGACAGAAGTACAGTCCATTCGAAACCACCAAACCCTCCATTCTGGAAGGAGGTATGGAAGCCTCGTTGTTGTAGCCAAGTGCGGCCAAGAATGCATGCATCGCTGAAAGAATCGCACTTCTTGGAGGCCGAGTAGATAGACTTGTGATAGAGAGAGACTGTGGCATCGGAGCGGAGGCTGGCATTGTAATACGAGGTCGGTTCGCCGATCTCAGAGTTATTGGAGGCCTGGCGGATGTTGCTTTTGAGTGGAAGCGTTCTTGTGATCGGGAACAAGGTAGGATCGATTGCGGTCAGGATTCGGATTGTAGGCCCGGACGATTCGCCTTGACGCGGTTCCAACAAGATGAGAGGGCGGAGACTGTCTCCATCCTGGGGGCCAAATTTGATATCAAACCCGAGGGTGTTCGCGGTGTCTTGAATCCCAGCGGCCACGCAAGCAATATAGTAGGCGCGCTTGTGGAAATATCTGAAGTTGACGTAGTCCTTCTCCTGGAAGAGCGAACTTGGCATGGTGACTGCCAGATCAATTGGGCGCGACTCCAGAGTGCGAGCGCCTGTCTTTAGCGCAAAGCTACCTACCACGTTGATGTTCGCCGGCTTTGCATATGCCATGCTGTACTTGACATCCTTGCTCGGTCGAGGCTCAGGCCATGGAACCACTAGACCAGAAGCACGTAGCTCCTTCTCGGCATCGGGGACAGATTGCGGAGACTTTTCGGGCAGGTTTTCAATTGCGGTTTTAATTTGGTGTAGTGTTTCCTGAACCTTTGAGACTTGCTTGCTGTAGTTAGGTCTCAATCCCGCCAGCAACTCGTCCATTTGCAGCTTGAAGAAACTGGATTTGTAAAAGCCGCTGGCCATTGCAAGCTCTGCGGAGCGCTCATCTTTGCCTCGAGTCGGGTTTCGTTTCTCGGTCACTTTCGATGTCTGTTTCGTTGAAGAGCTTGAAATAGCATTCTCCGGGGAAGGACTGAGCTTCCTGCGTTTAGATGTGTGGTCCGACATTTGTGCTGTAGCAGTTTGTTTAATGTAGAGGCCGAGATTTTTTTTTTTCGATAACGGTATTACATCTGGTAACGTACGGATGACTCATCGGTAATTTATCAGGTACCCGGAGCATCGCCGAAGTCGCAAGTGGAGAGGAATGGTATCATTGACAACCTTATATCCTTTTTCTTTTCTTTCTCTTCCTCTCTTTGTATTCTAAACCAAATATTAAGAATCAATCATATTTTTCTCCTGATTTCTATTTTCAATTAAAGATGTTGCAGGCTTTGGGAGGACCTGTGCCTCCAAACACTGACCATGTATGGTGAACTCCCCGCAACCCCTCTATGACTCTTCTAACATTTACAAGGCCGTCAGTGTATCGCTTCCATCATGGAGGGAAAATGTTGGCTACGAAGAAGGAGAAGATTGGGTCATAAAGAAGATGCAATGCGGTTATCCCAGATTCTTCGTCCACCCTATTATCCAAAATCTTGCCCAGGAGATTGTTCGCCGCGTTGGTGACCCCAATCTCGAGTCTGCAACCCTTTTCGCATCAGTCAAGCCAGCGCGCATCTGTCACTCCTTTCTGCTTAGCAAAATCCCCGCAGAGCAGGCGTACAAGACACGGATCGTCAACTTCATCCCATCCCCACATACCGAAGCCGGATCAACAGTGACGTCTTCCTTGTCGTGTGTCATTTACCCAAAAGAACACGCCTCCATCACCAAGCAGGTATGGCAACACGGGGGCAGTGGTATCTCCAGTCGACGAGGTGAGTTCTGCCTTAGGGCATTGGAGGACGGGTTTTTGGTGGAAGACAAAGGCTTGGCGACTGCGGAGTCAATCTCCCAGCGTCCTTGCAAGGGACCCCGCAGATACCAAAGCGTCAGTGGAGCGAGAAAGGGCTCTATCGGAGAATCTCCTCCCAAGTCAAACGCCGAAGACGGCCGAGACTATGGTCAATTTATCGAGGAGCGATTTGGTCGAAACCTCAGCACTTCTCTCGCCAACCAGGCCAAGCTGGCTGTTCGCAAACGTATTGCAGGTGTCTTGACAGCCGATGTTGAACTTCCAGAAGCCCTGGAGGCAGCTTCATCAGAAGGTCGAGTTGCCGGTATTTCTGAGGAGGATGTCCTTCTTTACCCTTCAGGCATGAATGCCATCTTCAACGCTCATCAGACCTTGCTGGCTACTAGAGGCGATTTGCCGTCAATCTGTTTTGGGTTCCCCTACACGGATACATTGAAGATTCTCCAAAAATGGGGACCAGGCTGCGTATTCTATGGTCACGGCTCCTCAGAAGATCTAGATGATCTGGAATCTCGACTGAAGGCTGGTGAGCGTTTCCTTGGACTATTTACTGAGGCACCAGGTAACCCTCTTCTCAAAACACCGGACCTCAAACGGATCCGCACTTTGGCAGATCAGTATGGGTTTGCCGTGGTTGTTGACGAAACCATCAGCAACTTTGTGAACATCAACGTTTTGCACCTGTCAGACATAGTAGTCAGCAGCTTGACCAAGATTTTCAGCGGAGATAGCAACGTCATGGGAGGAAGTGCTGTGCTCAACCCCCACGCACAGTATTATGCAGCCATCAAGGAAACTTATAACAGGGAATACGAAGATATCTACTGGGCAGAGGATGCAGTTTTCCTGGAGCGAAACAGCCGTGATTTTATTGCTCGCATTGAACAGATCAATGCTACCTCTGAGAACATTACAGCTATGCTGAAGGAGTCCCCCCTAGGTACGTATTCTATTCACTTTGAGTGAGAGCTATACTGACAATTTCACAGTGAAAGAAGTTTACTACCCAAAATACAGCCCCACGAAACCACTATATGATAGCCTCCGCAATGCCAATGGTGGCTATGGTGGTCTCTTCTCTGTCACGTTCCACTCCCAACCCGAGGCGATTGCCTTTTTCGATACTATCGAGGTTTTGAAGGGACCTAGTCTTGGGACCAACTTTACATTGAGGTGAGTTACGCAGCCCCCCCCCCCTGCCTTGGATTTTGCTAACTTTTCAGCTCTCCGTACGTTCTCCTGGCTCATTACGGTGAATTAGACTGGGTATGTACACCACTCGCATCTTGACCAGGCCGTAACTAACATTTGTCAGGCGAGATCTTTCAATGTCGATCCGGATCTAGTGAGAATTAGTGTTGGATTAGAAGAGGTACCTGATCTGCGCTCCAGGGTACAACGGGCTTTGGATGCAGTGCAAAGAGTTCGGCAGGCAAGTGCATAGTCTATACCCCAATTCAATCAGAGTTGGCCTGTGCACTACACAAGCACTTGGACTTTTCTGGGATATCCAAATCCGTAAATTGCAGTATACACCACGATATAAAGCAGACTACCATAGCTTATCACACTGTACCATGAAGAAAACGAGATCCTGCTCCGAGCCCTTCACTCTCCAACGCCAAACAGAAGCAGCTTTGACCTGCTACAATGTACGATCTAGCAGGTCATCCCCTATAGTACTCACGGCCCGGCTTGCGATGCCCAGGTCTCCGCTGGCGGTTTTTCTCAGAGCCTGGCGCATGGTCTCTACATTGAGGTCTCCCCCAAAACTGGAAGAGACTGGACTTTGGGCAGCACTAGCAGGAGGGAACCGAGTGGGAGACATATCAAGCCCTCTGAAGGAGGTCGCAGTGCTTGTTGGCGGCGAAGTGCCGAGTCCATGAGAAGAAGATGGAGAGCGCAGTGGAGACGGGGATTGATTGAGATCTCCTAGGCGCTCCCGAGATATTACGCCAGGATGAGCTTCATTTGTTTCTGCATGCTCGGCATGCTCGGCGTTGACCACGTCGGCAAAGGAAATAAAGCTCAGCCGACGTACATCTGTCGTGTCCAGTGCTCCATAGCTAGACGAGAGGTCATCTCCATCGGACTGTCCCAAGAGATGCTCGATGCCCGAGGACGACATGGATTGCTCCCCGGATGGACCACCCGCTGGCTGATGTAGGCTATGTGTGACAATCTCGACCGAATCTGGATCGAGGCGGTCATCTGTGATCGCGGCCGAGGATGCTTCTAGAACAGGTGGAATATAGTTATCGGTTCGAATATGCGCCGGTATCGAGGGCGACGCCTGTGCTGGCATTATATCTTCCTGCACATCTCGTTCGAATATCTGAGAGGCGGGGGAATGTATACGGGGCGGCAGATACGATGAACTTTCGGGTGAGGAGGGGTATCTCATGTATTTGGTCTTGGTCGAATCATGATTTGGTGTTCGCAGGGCTTCGGATGATCTCACAGGTGATATGTAGCTGTCGTTTTGATTCTTGTCCCATGTAAGAGCAGCGGGCTTCGGGGCTCGTGTAGTTGCTCCTGCGTTTGGCTTCTGATCTGTCGGAACTGTAGAGTCAGACATTGCGATAAGAGAAATTGTCAAAGTCCGACAGCCATGATCAATAAAGTAGTGTGGGAGTTAGTAAAAGTGTGATGACATGAGACATAACGTAGGAGACCAGGTGACGGCCCCGGGATTTATTAGGGTACATGTACATAGGTATGCTGAATGTACTTTTTGTATCAGGTACTTTGAATTGGGTGGTGATGAGAGGGTTGTTCGATGTATTGGATACATACATACGTACATTGAAATGTACACTATGTACGGAGTACAATTTGGTATTTACCTTTTTTAAAATACGGTATGGTAAATACTACCAGGCCAAGGGGGGTCACGAGACCAGGGGAAAAAGTTCGGCTTTGAAGCGCGAGAGATGCCAACACGTCCGGTCCGTCAACCCCAAGTTCAGTCTTACCTTTAGGTCGGTTTACCATGATAAAACACATCTATGAAGACTCGCTAACTCTTTATTTTCTATTATTCTAGTTTCTGATCAATTCCTCCCCCCCAATTGACCAGAAGCAATGGCGACCTTCATTGCCGCGACGAAGCGGCCATTCCTCACATTGCCATTCCTTATTCCCTCCTTGTCGGATTCATTGGCACTAGGATTTCGACGAAACCAATCTTCATACCGACGGACCAAGCAGCGACTACGTGTGAAGCCAGACGCCTCATTTGACCCGTCCAACCTGGGCCACGATCACATTATCCACAATCCGCCATCCAGTGCTCCAAATGCCTACCACACCCCATCCAAATTCTTGCCTGCCGATGATGTTCGGAAAGCATCCATCCTTTCTTCCACTGCGACCCCCAATGTTGACGATCTTCCCGGTGTCTACAAGTCTATGCCCGAAAGAAAATATCACCTCACCCCTTCAAACATTGAAGAAATCCGCAATCTCCGCATGAACGATCCCATGACCTGGAGTCGAAACAAGCTCGCCAAACGGTTTGAATGTTCGCCCGTGTTTATTGCCATGGTCTGCCAGGCAAGCCCAGAGAAGAGAGAGATCCAGGCTCGGATCTTGGAGGCGGTCCAATCACGATGGGGACCCAAGCGTCGCATGGCCAGAGAAGATCGTCAACTGCGGCGCGAGGCCTGGGGACGAGATGCATAGTGGCATGATCCAATTCATCGGAATGGGTCTGTTTTTTTTTTTGTAAAGAAAATCCATGTATTCTAGCTTATTTCTAGCATTGTTTATGTATTCCATACCAAATCTTCTATTTGTTCTAGTTTTCCAGGGTGCCAAGGTTTATATACATAGGAAAATAAGCATCAAGATAGGAAATGTTTAATATATGTATAATATATGTACAATCTATAACAAATATCAAAAGATATCAATATCAATATCAATATGAATGTCTCAGACAACCCCCCTGGTCACATCGCTACTGTGTGATAGGACCAAAAAAAAAAAAAATTACGTGATAACAAGTCACTTCTGCACTCTCCCCGGTTACCTCAGGGCAAAGACGGCAATGCCCCTCTTTCCCCTCCGTCGTGTTCCATTCAAAGCTCCTTTTTCTTCTCGATTTTCTCCTGTTCGTTCTCCTCTTTCTCGCCGTTTCTTCTACGGACATATCAGTGATTCCAAAATGGCGCCCTCTTTAGAACCCTTTTTCAAGCAGTAAGTATGGTTATCTCCAAGAAAAGAGACACTTTAACTGATAGTCAAATAGGGTCGACGATTCGTCCAACGATTTCATCGAGCGTACGTAATACTGGTTTCTCGATTTCTCGATCTCTCGCTTTCTCGCTTTCTCGCTTTCTCGCAAGGTCCTTGCTGATTCTAGTCAAAGGTCTACGGAAGGCGGTTGCGATCCCATCTGTCTCGGCGCAAGATGAGAACCGACCGGATGTGTTCCGCGTGAGTCTTCCAACAGACATACAAATTCAGATCTAATATTTTGTAGATGGGACAATTCCTTGCCGACGAGCTCACAGCTCTTGGAGCCGAGGTCGAGCAACGACCATTGGGCAAGCAGCCCGGCAAAGAGCACCTCGAGCTGCCACCCGTGGTAGTTGCGAGATACGGAAACGATAAGAACAAGCGCACTATTCTGGTCTATGGACACTACGATGTGCAGCCTGCTCTGAAGGAAGACGGCTGGGCCACCGAGCCCTTTGAGTTGACCATTGATGAGAAGGATCGGATGTACGGCCGTGGCTCTACTGATGACAAGGGTCCCGTTTTGGGCTGGCTCAATGTCATCGATGCCCACCGCAAGGCTGGTATCGAGTTCCCCGTCAACTTGTTGTGCTGCTTCGAGGGAATGGAAGAATATGGATCTGAGGGTCTGGATGACTTCATTCAGGCTGAGAGCAAGAAGTACTTCAAGGATACCGATGCCGTTTGTATCTCTGACAACTACTGGCTCGGTACTGAGAAGCCTTGCCTCACCTATGGTCTGCGTGGCTGCAACTACTACTCCATCAGCATTTCGGGCCCCGCTCAAGATCTGCACAGTGGTGTCTTTGGTGGCTCTGCCCACGAGCCTATGACCGATCTGGTCAACGTCCTGTCCAAGCTGGTTGACACTCAGGGTAATATCCTGATTCCAGGTCTCATGGATCTGGTGGCTCCCCTGACTGAGGAGGAGCAGACTCTCTATGGAAACATCAGCTACACTATGGACAACCTCCACGAGTCATTGGGCGCCGAGACCGGTATCCACCCCACCAAGGAGCGCACTCTGATGGCCAGATGGCGTTACCCCTCTCTGTCTATTCACGGTATCGAGGGTGCTTACTCGGCCCCCGGTGCTAAGACAGTTATTCCCGCCAAGGTTATCGGTAAATTCTCTATCCGTACCGTGCCCAACATGGAGAGCGAAGATGTGAACAAGCTGGTCTTCGACCATATCAAGGCCGAGTTCGCCAAGCTGAACAGCAAGAACACTTTGGATGTTTGGCTCCAGCACGACGGCAAGTGGTGGGTCGCTAGCCCCAAGCACTGGAACTTCTCTGCTGCCAGCAAGGCTGTCCAGCAGGTCTTCGGAGTCGAGCCTGATATGACTCGCGAGGGTGGAAGGTAGGACTCTCTTTCTCTAAACAAAATACAGTTCACAGCTAACCATTGATAGTATTCCCGTCACATTGACCTTCGAGCAAGCCACTGGCAAGAACGTCTTGCTCCTCCCCATGGGAAGCTCGACTGATGCTGCCCACTCTGTCAACGAGAAGCTTGACAAGAGAAACTACATTGAGGGAACCAAGCTGCTGGGCGCTTACCTTCACTACGTTGCGGAAGAGCCTACATCTTCATAGATATAATTATGGATTCAATTTTCTATCTGCTATTTTCGCAGTCTTTTACCACAGTACATGCCATTTTCATCATAATCAACGTTGGAAGAATTTTATCTATTACACAACACACACAAGGACCTCAGCTGAGGAAAAATATACTATCACCGTATTCGAAAAGGGTTGATTACTTGTATTGCGCTACTTAAGGGGAATACAAAGACCCCCACGAAGCATGGGTAAGCCCAAAGGATGACTAGCCAAAGAGTCATCAAAAAGATCTATGAAAATGAAAATGCATCAATCGCTATAGCGGCGCTCGAGGATTCCAACGCTGACACCAAGTAGACAAACACGAGCAAACGATCAAATCAAGAGCAAGACGCCGTCAAGTGCAAAGCAATTCGGGATTAGTTGCTATACATCCGTTAGTATCCTGTCTAGAAATCAATAAAGAGGGGCAACTTACTAGATCTCCAGAGGAGAAATCTGATCCAAAGCATACAGCCAGTTTCCACCTTGCTCCTCTTTCTCGAGCCTGTAAACAGAATTCGTCAGTGGATACGTCCTCAGGTCCAATGGGAGCTAAGTTGAAACATACCAGTCATAAGGCCACATGATCAGATGGCCTTGAGTGTTGTTCAGGAGGTCCTCCGCGCGGCCCTTATCCAAATACTCATCTGTACCATGAGGGTCACGCTTCGAGCCAATCGTTGTAGCTCTGCGTCTACGTCTCCGAGACTGACTCGTCGAGTTCAGGTTCAGGTTCACGGCTTCAGAGTAATCGACATGAGCCGGAGTTGTTCGTGACTTCTCGATATCATCACTGGCGACGGCACCATTCTCGTCGCTGGTCCCGTTCGGAACACTGGCCAAGAGGTTCGGGTCCGACACCGTCTTGAGTGCGGCCTTTTCATCAATAGACGATAACGTCTCCTGCTTCGCTAGCTGCTCAGACTGAGGACGACCAGTTTCGTTCCCAGATCCGACCTTCTCGTCAATTGTCTGTGGGCTCTTCGGGTCTGCCTGCGGTCCTTCGGCCCTTGGGGCAATGCAAGACATCTGAGAAGCGATCGACATAGGAGAGCTGACCGAAGCACCAGCTGGGGGAGGGCCACTTTGTTTTTGTTGAGGTTGGCCTGGCTTGTTGCTCGGTTGGCTCTGCATCTCTGCGAAGCGCTCACCATATGTGGCATACTCCTTGTATTCCTTCCAGTTCTTCACCTCGCTGTCGGGCATGCAGCGGAACACAGATCGGTAGATTTTGGTATTCTGCTCGGCGACGGCTTGCCAAGTATCAAGGTAGAAGCCATCGATGATCGGGTCTCTCATGCAGTCGTTGTCGATGAAGATACGCTTCAGATCTGGAACAGACGGGTGGTTGTGCTTAGGGTTTTCATTTTCTTCCCTGGGCATGTTCAAACCAGTACCGCCAGTCTCGGACTCGCGGCTCGACGATCCATTAACTCCATGGCCTTGTGAGCCTTGTGGCGGTGTATTCGCATTGATCTCGGAGTTGGGATTGGTCTCACTCGATGACCCAGGTCTGCGGTCCTTGCGGGTCGAGGGTGTTCGAGGGGGCTTTTGCTGCGATGATTTCGGTCGCTCAATAGTACCCCTCCCTTCAGGAGCGATGGGTGAAAGCAGGGCCTCTTTTCCATGGGACTCTATCTCCGAATCACGACCAACTGCTAATCCGGCCCGAGCAGCGGCTGCCAGATGATCGGCGCCCTCACCTTCCACGTCTTTCCTGTGATCA